AACTGATAAGAGATAACGGCTTGGTAGCTTCGGTGATGTTGTAATATTCAAGGTCTTCTACAAATTTTCTGAGGGCAGATATCGCTTATCTCTTATCAGTTACGCAAAATACGCAGATAACCTCAAAAAAGCCGCGAGATGAACGCGTTTTTCTTTATCGTTTTTCATGTAACTGATAAGAGATAAAGGATATGTGTTTTCAGCAAATTCTTAAGGCAGGTTGAGTTCTATAATTTTATTCATGATACATTTCAATATCTCTTATCAGTTACGCGTAAAATCACGAAAAACGCGAGTTATCATTTTTTTTATCATTCATCATTTTTTGCGTAACTGATAAGAGATAAGGAGATAGTATCTTCACAAAAAGTATGGGACTTGACCTGTTCTACAACTTTGTTGAAGACATATATCACTTACGTACTGCGATAAAAGCCTATATAAACAATGTTATTATATTTTACGATATTTGACTCGATGTCAATGACGATGTGGCAGCGCCACCTATAGAGATTCCTTATTAAAATAAGTGGAACTATTGAGTGCATGCACCATATCGCACGTAAATTTTCAATATGGCAGCGCCCATCGAATTGAAAAGTTAACCGATTTCGTAGTCACAAATTATCGCTGTACGATCACTTATCTCTTATCAGTTCCGTGAATAATGAAAAGGGGAATTTTTGCGATTTTTTGCGTTTTTCGCGTATTCCGCGGAGCTGATTAGTGATAAATGATAACTGTCTTGAGGAAAATAAACAAGGTAATGTTAGAGAGGTAAAAAACCACATAGAATTATCAAAACACAGTGTATTCCATATGTTTCCATACAAAATATATAGGGGTCTGGCCAGACCCGAGGAGTGTGGAATAGGGTGTAGTTTTTGTAAATCCTTTTTTCGTCCTTTTTTGTTCTGCAAGGATAATGTTTTATTTCATAAATCGGTAGCCAATAAAATTTTAGGAGGCTACCCGAGAGCTCAAGTCGCTAGCTTAACTAGAAATATGTTAAATTAACGTTTGGAAACGAAATATGTCTGGCCAGACCCAGGGGTGTGGATTAGGGTTAATGTATTTCCTTTCTCTAAATGCAAGTTCAACATTCTAAGAACCCCAAATGTCCATTCCTTCGTCGTATGAACCGATTTCGTAGAAGAATTCGTGATCAATTGAAAAAGCACAGCCGACGTGGGTCGGCGTACATAGTGGAGCGGTTTTGTCATTTTTAGTGCGAAGCAACTACCGGGAACTACCATCCTTGAGTTCAAAAATTACAAAAAGTTAAGTTGATATTTCAAATTTCAAAAAAATGTCCACTTGTCACCAACCGATCGAATATTAGTTACCATTCGAGACCATTTACAGCAACAACAGACCGATCATTTGCAATGCGAGAGAGAAGTGGTTGTAGCCATCCTTTAGTGCATTCCATATGAGCATCAAGAAATGTGAGGACGCTCCCCTAAAAGGTCATCAAATATTGCGAAGAAAAAGTTCCTTTAAAGTTAAATGAAATTAGTCAATCTAATATCAGAATAAATAGTCTTACCTCCGTAAGACGAACTCTTCCGCACCGTTTTCATAGCGTTCAGCTTTTATTCAGATTTTGGCTAGGATCCAAATGAAAATCAGATTTTTAAGGCATTTTGCCCAACAAATCATGTTTCATTTTTGTGACCGTATTTTTCATTAGTAGCGGGTCGAATCGGTATATTAACATGATTGATAGTTTGATTTCAGACTGAGTGAACTACAAATTTCATTCAATTATCGACTCGCTGCTCGCTTTCTGTTCTATTTACATAGCTTCCGGCCATCGCATGGAAAAGCCGTCGTGTGTGTTATTGCAGAAAAGACCGCCAATCCCTAAAATCGATCCGAGTTCTGAATTGAAAATACGGATCTTTGTACGCATATTGTTGGCATCGACAAAAATTGACTGCATTTAGAGAGTATGACGTTTTTCTTCTACATTTTACCAATTTCTTCACTTCTTCTCTATTTTCGATCTCTTCAAACATCCCTGGCAGGATTTGACGGAATAAGAAAATAACAAATTCTATGAACAAATTACGAACTTGCGGTAAAAGTTTTCACATTTGAAGGTGATTTTCTTTTTATCTTTATTCGATGACTTGAAATTCTCCAAATGTATAATGATTGCTTACGCATTGTTGCGTCATTGTTTCAGATTTTGCTTGGTGTTAATCGTTGTACAACAGAATACTTGAAAATAGCGAATGATCAATCACATCGTCAAAAGTTCATTGAAGATGCCACTGATTTTGTTGTGCATTACAATTTTGACGGACTGAATTTGAACTGGGATCATTCAAAGATATGGTTTATGTAGTGAAAGAGAATTCAATAAGACATTGATTACGAAAAGAAAACGACTCAAAAAATGACATAACTTTTTAATTTGCAGAGCTTCAAACATTCAGAACAGCTCCATGGAAGATAAATTGCTCAACAAACAGAGGATCGCATTACTTCTGCACGAGTTGAAAGTAAATTTTCTACCACTTCATCGTTTTCTTAGCGCTTCATTCACCGGGACGAAGGAAGAGCTGTTTGAAGCGCATGACTTCACTGCCATAACTGAATACGTTGACTTTTTGAGTTTTACGCCCAATAACAATGGCGCTTCTACGGACGAAAATGGAGTTAATCCCATGGAGACTTTAAAAATTTCGAACATAGATGACATAATAAACAGTCTGATCAAAATGGGAGTGTCGCAATCAAGGATTGTGATGCAAGTGTCGTTTTTCGGAGCTTTACTTACACCGCGACCAAACGGCATTCCTACAATCGAGCCCATTGGATACAACGAGATATGTGCTGAGTTCGAAGATCTGTCTCACCAAAAATCCGCATGGAACATTAATTTCGATCCAAAAAACAGTTTGACTGTTGCTAACCACATGCAAGATGGACGCAGCATTATATTCGTTCGATTGCTCGTAAATTAGGGTTTTCTATGATACGCCACAATTTGACCGGTGTCATAGCGTATTTGATAAACCCTAATGATTCAGTCGGCAAATGCGTCATTGAAAGCGATACATTCAGCGATTTCAGTGGGTTTTCGATAGATATTCCGGAAACAAATATCGAATTTCCACTCCTGCGAATAATAAACTAATCGATTTTTTTGGCATTGGATGAGAAATTGATAAAAGCGCACTCATGGAAATCAACGACTAAGCCGCAGGATGATACCGAATCCATTGTGTTTGGAGCAATTTTGATATTATTTTCATATAAAATCATTATACACCTCTTTAAAAGATGAGCATGTTTTGTTTTAAAACTTCTCGACTTGAGAATTTCGAGCGAATAGCGGAAAATATCTGAAATTAAATGAAATTGATATAAAAAACCATTTGAACTTTTATTATAAGTGAGCAAATAATTGCAGTTTAACAGTTGCCGATTCACATTTGCAGAGTTAAAAAGTAGCTCTCTTAATTTCGAGGGTATTTAGCGAGAAAAATTGGAAATTTAGATAAAATGATTTTAGCGATTCTTTATACGATTTTCACCCAAAAAATACGGACAATTTTCATATGATTTTTCAATTCCTTTTAGATGGTTTCATGAATTCTTTTAATTCAACAACAGATGTGTCAAGTTCGACTGTGAGCACTCCCGATACAACAACAGATACCAATAATAGCAGTAGCACGACATTTATTGACCACTGATAGCATATCTACGCCATCAAGCCCAATAACTACCGTATCATTGATAGTTCTCTATTAATTATTAGCTGTAGTAATGATCATTCAGTAAAAATTATGAAATGGTTAAATCAAATTGTTTCCATACTCTTGAATCATTTTCATTGCACGTACATTCAAGTCCTTTGCTTGAATTAATCGCTTATGCAAGATCGTCCCAGTGTTACATACGAGGGGCAGATCACTCAAAAGTAATTGCATGAAAGAGAAGTAATTGCATAGGTAATAGCAAGAAAAATGTGGTAATTACTGGTGCAACTACTTTTTTCGTTGCTATTACCTATGCGATAACCTTTTTTTTCGTGCAATTACCGCTAAATTTTGCAATTACTATTTTGAGTGATTTGCCCAGTTACATATGTGACGTTTTTTAATGTTGACTTCTAAAAACGATGCCTGAAGGTAGAAAAAAATTACAAGTTTCAACGCTTTCAACATAAATAAAGTTCTAACGTGCACATAAATTACTAGATCGTTCAATAAGTCCAAGGATAAAGAGGAAGATGGTAGTGATAGCGAAAACAAGAAGCGATGAAATGCTATGTGACAAAGACGCGATAAATTAAGCACAAAATCAATCGGAGTGTAGACTGTAGAGTGATGGCAGAAAGAAGAAAAAGTAAAAGAAAAAAAAATATGAACACAGAAAATTAGAAGCACACTTCGAAAGTGAGAAGAGAAAGAGTCGTCGATGGGGGAATGAAAATGAAGTGAAAAAAAAGATACCGATGAGAACCCAAATGAAGAGTAAGCAACACGGTATGAATGCACTGCACTGCACTGCACACACAATAGTGAGGAGTTAAGTTGTATATACTAAAATGTCATAAAAAATACATTCAAATATAGTTGACATATGAGAAGTTTGGAGCGAAAATGTTATACAGAAAAGTTGAGAGGAAAAATGTCAGATGAAAAGAGATAGCTATATACAATAGTTCACTATAGTTCACTATAGTTTACTATATAGCTATCCCTTTTCCACTCATTC